CCAGCCGTCGCTCTGGGAGATGAGCCAGTGCACCTCATCGTACCCCATCTCCTCCTCCTCCTCCTCGCCTGGCCCCTCCTGGAAATCAGGGCGCGTGTCCCTTCGGTCGTCGCCTCCTCCTGGTGGCGGAGCGTCACCTCCAGGCGTGGCTGCCATCATCATCGCCTGACCCGCGCGCGCGTGCATTCTCGCAACCCGCGCTGCTACTGCTACTGCTACGCCTGCCAACATCTCTGCTACGGCTACTTTCGCTGCCGCTGCTGCCCCTGCCAATGCCGCCCATGCCCTGCCCCTCCTCCGGAGACGGCAGCAACGCCGCCACTGCCGAGAGCAAGGCGAGCAGCGCCATCTGCGCCGCGGAAGCCGTCGAGAAAGCAACTCGAAAGGTCGCCACTCGTCTGGCACCTTGCAGTCGGCGTGGCTGCGCGACAAAATTTGCTGTCAAAATTGTTCGAGGCAAAGCAGATCAATCCACCAGTCTATCAGTCAATAAATCAGACGACCAAGCAACCAATCAACCTGCCAATCCTTAAGGATTGGAAGGTCGATTTATTGATTGCATCAACCAATCTACCGATCAATCTATCAACATACCTATCAATCAATCGATCTATATATCTGCTACTTTTAATATTTCTATTGCTCTATACACAAATCCATGCACACCTACACACTAGACCAACGGTAACCGAAACCGAGCATCGAAAACGAAGGAGACCGTCCGCCAAACACGAAGTAGCCGCGAACGAGACGCGCCAGCCGAGCCGCGAACCGACGCAAACGCGGAGCCCGACTTCACGAGGAAGGAACCAGCCAGACGCAAGCCCCGAGGAGGGGAGGGGGGGGGACCAGACCGCACCAGCGCTATGGCAATCTGTTGTGGCCAGCCAGGCGCGATCGCCTCATCGCAAGGCGCGGCGCCCCAGCGTCGCGGCCTCCCACACAGGAGGCCATTCTTTTCTGCAGAAATTGAAGGAGAGGGAGGGGGGAGACGGGGAGGGGCGGAGAGGGGGGAGAGACAGGGAAAGAGAACGATAGACAGAGAGAGGGGGCGTGTACCAAGAGAAGGACATGTAGAAATACATACACATATAGAAAAAGAAGAAGAGGGGAAGGGCGAGAGAGAGAGCGAGAGAGGGAGAGAGAGAGAAGAGAGAAAGAGAGAGAGAGATAGAGAAAACCAAAAAGAGGGAGAGAGAGAGAGAGAGAGAGAGAGAGAGAGAGAGAGAGAGAGAGAGAGAGAGAGAGAGAGACCGGACCAGTAGGCGGACCAGGGTCCGTCCGCGAGGCGCACTGCGGTGCGACAACCCGCAAAACACTATTAGCGGCGGTGCAGCCTTAAGATACGAGGGCGGGCAACAGACCCCCTCCCCCGGCGCATTGCGTCTGAAGCTACGGACGGCGGAGAGACTGTGAAGATCTCACGTGTCAGACCGCGTGACGAAGAAGGCCCCAACAAGAAAGGCGACGTGCGGACACGTGGCTAGGCGGCTTGGCAGACCGCCAGTTGGGCGCTTGGCCGCAGCGCGGCGCGCAGGGACGGGGCACCCCCCGCCCCACGCCCTGACACCGTGGACGCGGGGCCACGCGTGCACACGGGCAGGCAGAATGGCGGAGATTAGCGCGGGGCTCCAGGCGGAGCGCCGCGGAGCGATGACAGCATAGCATGGAGGGTGAGTGGCGGCGCAGCACCATCGGGCGGGGGTGTTAGCAGCTCGGCGAAGGCACGACCGGCGCGGTGGAGGCGCTGGAGCAAAGGGCCTTGACGGGCTTGGGCAGCGGCAAGGTCGGCGGCGAGAGCTGCGCACCTCTGCTGGAGAGCGGCCATAGACTGGGACAGCTCGGCTTCGCGCTCGGTGCGGGGCGGCTGCTCTGTGCCCGCGGCCGCGGGCCTCGCGGCGGGGACGAGGTCATCGGTGCGCCTGGCCAGGTGGTGGACCAGCGCGGTGCGGCGGTCCGTGCGCTGGCGGCCGTCGCCGTGGCGAGGCGACTGGAGGGTGTCGCGCGGTCCCAGGGCTGAAGCCGCTGGGGCCACGCCCCCTGAGGACGGAAGAGCCGCAGCCTCGCAGCCTGCAACAGTAGGAGCGTGGACGGGGCGCGACGGCCTGACTGGCTCAGTGCCCTGCGGGGGGGCTGAAGCCGCCCCCGCGGGCTGGCGCTGGTGGGGGGACGGGGTTGGTGGCACGGAGGGACCAATCATGATGCCGTGCGAGGGCTCAGAGGTCGGCCGGGTGACCGGGTGGCGACTCGATGAAGCGGCATCGTCGGCAGCGTGGGGTGTCGGCGGGACGTCGTCTATGCTGCCACCCAATCCGAGGGGATCATAAAAGTCCTCGTCGGCGTCTTGGAGGTGAGCGACGTCATCATGTGGGTGCGGTGCCGTTCTCGGTGGCGGAGTCGAGGTGGGCGTCGTGCGGATGCCCGACGGGGCAAGGTTGGCGCTGGCTGGCCCGTCGTCCAGGAAGTCTAGTCCCCCGCCGAAGCCGAACGGGTCGTCCTCCTGTTCGTCGTACATCGCCCGTTGTGCCTCGGCCCAGAGCTCGTCCGGTTTCTGCGGGATGTCTGGTCCAGCCGCGGGTGGTGCCTGGTCCGACAGCAGGGGGTTCGGTTCCATTTTGCTGAGTTCAGCCGCTGTAAACCCAGCCCTGCGGTGTGGGAGCGGCAGAGTACTGTGTCTGCGCTCGTAGATGGCGACAGCGACCCCGTGAAGCACGGTCGCTTGGCGATGTCGTGTTTTGGCAGCTTCAACGATGTCGTCGGGGAGGTTGTGCGTGCGTGCCGCCGCTGTGGCAAGGGCGTCGGCCTGACGGGTGAACTCCTCCGCGATGGGCCCGATGAGCCCAAGGTCGATGCCCAGGTCTCCCAGGTGGCTGGCGACTTTTTCGACGCGAAACATGTCGGGCTTGGCCATGACACATCGGTGAATCATTGCCCAGAGCTCCGCGTGCGTGCCCTGCGGCGCTGGATGTCCGTCGATGATGCTTTGGAACCCATCGACCACCGCCTGGTTGTCACGAAGACGTGCACGGGCCGTTCGGCACACGCCGTAAGGTGGACGATGGCAAGGGTCTCCGCAACCTGGGCGTTCTGCGTTAGGCCGTGAACGCGTGCACTGTAGTTCATGCGGTGGTCGATGCCGTAGTAGACGCCGTA